AAAACCGCTTGTCCATGCATTCCGCCTACCGTTTCCATAGCTTCAGTTCCCAACGCAGCCATCAGAAACGCGACCGTGCAACGAAGTGTGTCAACGCATGCGCGGCAAAGAAATCTGTAGCACCAGGCATCATAAAAAGGTGTGAAGGCAGCGCGCACGTTGGTTGCTCCGTGTGTGTGTGCGCGCGTAGTCCGCCGCAGTGTGTACGCGACCTCCGCACCGCACCCATACATGGCTTCCACGTGATGCCCCAACCGCCCAATCGGCATATCTATGCTAAGAACCCTCATACCAAAGCCAGCACCGAGGCACGGCCCATACGTTCATGAATTAAACATAATTATTCGACCTGCTACCGTCCCCTATGTAAAAGCCCTAAGCCCCCCTTTCCCCCTTTTGGCAGATGGACAGCAGCAACAGCAAACCAGCATTCGTGGGCAGCGACAGGAGCGATAGCATTCATATGTGAGGTAAGGTGGGCCTGCTGGCAACACAAGAAATAGGATGCCATAGCATATGTCGTGGGGCTACCGTCAGGGGGGATGGGTAAACTTTGAAGATGGAGACCGAGGTGAAGCGGGTTGGTTATGCGGGCGGGTTTCAGGGTATCACGTTGGCCCTCCCCTGCGGCCCCGCCTAGCCTAACGCCGTCCTCCCCTGCGGCCCCGCCTAGCCTAACGCCGTCCTCCCCTGCGGCCCCGCCTAGCCTAACGCCGTCCTCCCCTGCGGCCCCGCCTAGCCTAACGCCGTCCTCCCCTGCTGCCCCCCCTAGCCTAACACCGTCCTCCCCTGCGGCCCCCTAGCCTAACGCCGTCCTCCCCTGCGGCCCCGCCTAGCCTAACGCCGTCCTCCCCTGTGGCCCCGCCTAGCCTAACGCCGTCCTCCCCTGCGGCCCCGCCTAGCCTGACGCCGTCCTCCCCTGCGGCCCCCCAGCCGAAGGCCGTCCTCCCCTGCGGCCCCCTAGCCTAACGCCGTCCTCCCCTGCGGCCCCGCCTAGCCTAACGCCGTCCTCCCCTGCGGCCCCGCCTAGCCTAACGCCGTCCTCCCCTGCGGCCCCCTAGCCTAACGCCGTCCTCCCCTGCGGCCCCGCCTAGCCTAACGCCGTCCTCCCCTGCGGCCCCGCCTAGCCTAACGCCGTCCTCCCCTGCGGCCCCCCAGCCGAACGCCGTCCTCCCCTGCGGTTTAGGGTTTTAGGGTTTTAGGGTTTTAGGGAGTACACACGGGGGGAAAGAATGGGCTATTGCAGCGAAGCAACGCCCCAGATGAGTGCTAAAAACAGTGCATTAGAACATGCATATTTGAAGCTTAGCCTAACGTTGTCCTTGGCCTCCGACTGCACCCACTACCCTCCAGAGCGTGGCCTGGAGCTTTTCGAGTCGAGGGACGTACGTCATACATCGCTACAAGGTGTGTATGGATAGGGAGGTTCGGGGAATTGGGGCTGGAAGGGTTGGGAGGGTCGTGGCACGGGAGTTGGCGGGGTATGGGGGTTAGGGAGGGTCGGGGAATAGGGGTTGGGAGGGTCGGGGCACTGGGGTTGGCGGGGTATGGGGGATAGGGAGGGTCGGGGAACGGGGTTGGGAGGGTCGGGAGGGTCGGGAGGGTCGGGGCACGGGGGTTGGCGGGGTATGGGGGATAGGGAGGGTCGGGGAATAGGGGTTTGGAGGGTTGGGAGGGTCGTGGCACGGGGGTTGGCGGGGTATGGGGGTTAGGGAGGGTCGGGGAATCACATTTCACTCACTTTTCATGTCCCCCCCTCCCTTTGCCCCCTAAGGCCTGCCACACCAGGGAGGACGTGGAGTGCTGGCACTTTTCCTCAAAGTTACCAAACAGCATATAAAGGGCAGCGGGTTCTCTGTCTAGATCTTTTGCATGGGGGATCTTGGAAAACCAGCAAACCTACATGGCTGGCGTAGCTACACAAACAAAAGCCTTTTTATCCCCCGGTTTCCGAG